TTTATTGACCCACCGTCAGACCACTAGCTATACCAGGTATTATGATCTCAGCTCCTCCTCTACCTTCGTTTCTACCTCCTCCACTATTTAACATACCCACGGTGAGTACTCCTACATCGAGAGGTCCATCTCATCAGCTGAACCCATTCAGTTCCTACCTAATTCTGGCAAATCCAACTCAATTTAGCCTTGCCTCAGCCATGCAAGCACAGTTCACTACGAGATCTCTTCCTCGTCAAATTCCCCAATTACAGACTCTCTTCAATCCCAATTGTGTCACAAACCTTCCCACAAATGACCCACACCCCACCTAATGTCAACCACTTCTACCATCCCCAGTACCAAAAGACCATCACCTAACCACCTCCACAATTTACATCTATGGTGGATCAATTCTTCTCCTTTGATGAGGTTCAGTCTCAGTAGAAGGTGACCATTGCAGCTCTGCATTTCGATGACCTTGCACTGCAATGCATCAAGCTTACTTGCGGAGTAAAAGTCATCTACCCTCTCCTTCCTGGGAGGAGTACATCTATGCCCTGTCTGACAGATTTGGTACTAAATTTGATGACACCATGAGTGAGATTCAGGAGGCATTTGATAGAGCCACGAATAGGTTAACTTTAGACCTCAATCATGCCATTAGTGCATTTTTGAATAGGCTGAAACCTGAAATAGGGGATGCTATACGAATTCATAGATCCTATTCCTTTCCTCATGCATATCACTTAACTTGTTTACAGAAGTTCATGTTCTTGAAACCTAAGTTGCTCGGACTCTCCAAAAATATTGCCGCACCCATGTCGGATCCTTCAAAAATAGTATATTTTTGGAGGATCCGACACGCACCCGTCAACATTTTTAAAGAGTCCGAGCAACATAGCTTGAAACAATGGAACGCAACCATGAAAATTCCCACTGGCAAGCCATACTCCTATGCTAAACCCCAGACTACACCCAATTTACACATGCTCAAACTGTAGTAGGGGACAGGCCTAAGAGAAGGAGGCTAACACCTGCAGAGTGAAGTGACAAGAAAGCCAAGGGGCTCTGTTATATTTGTGATGAAAACTATGAACCAAAGTCCATTTGTAACGATCTAGTAAACGATACTTCTCAATGACTGGGTTTTTTTTTGGGTCATGAAACAAGAATTCAAGATTACCTCAGCTTTTCATATGTACTAGGTCATGAATGTTTCAGAATATAACTGTCCGACTCCGTTTTACTCCAAATTTTGTAGGTTCATTTGTGACAGTCTAGTAAACGATACTATTGCCTTTGTAGGACTGACATCACCCTCTCTTTTTTGGAGTGTTTGGGTCCGAAATAGAAGTTCAGAATATCTCATTTTTCGTGTGTAGTAATCTATGAATTTTATTTAATATACCTCATTGATTTTGTTGAACTCTAAGTTCTTGGGTTAATTCGAAACGACCTAGTGAACAGTACTAATTGTCTCTCAACAATCGATGTCGTTTTTTCTGTAAGAAAATATTCAGAGGTCACAAAATAGGAAGTCAAAAGGTTTTACAAAAAAATTTACCAAAAGCCATATCACCAAAATATATAGGCCATCACACACGAAAAACTGAGAAAATTATCCAATTTCAGTTAATTATCCAATTTTCAATTTTTCGTGTGTAGCCCATGAATATTTTGGTGATATGGCTTCCGGATGACTTTTTTGCGAAACCATTATGGAACCCTTCGTAAAGAATTGGGTGAGCAATACGTACCAGTTAGGAAGTTATGCGCCAAGTTGCGAAACCATTATCACCATTTTTAGAGTAATTTCTTGGCATTTATGCGCCAAGTTGCAGGAATTAGTGGATTTTCTTAGTTTTTTGTGTGTTAACCATGAATATTTTGGTGATAAGGCTTGCAGACGATTTTTTTTGTGAAATCATTAAGGAACCCTCTGTACAGAGAGTTAGGGCAGTAGTACACATAATTTCACCATTTTTAGAGTGATTTTTGGGATTTAGGGGCCAATTTACTGAAATTAGGTGATTTCACAATTTTTCTTATATGTTAGCCCATAAATATTTTGGTGATATAACTTTAGGACGATTTTTTTTGTGAAACCATTAAGAAACCCTTTGTAGGTAATTGAAGAGCAGTACGTACAGTCTCATTATTTTGAGAGTGATTTTTGGGCAATTAGGAGCTAATTTACACAATTAGGCGATTCCTCAGTTTTTCGTGTGTGTTAGCCTATGAATATTTTGGTTAGATGGCTTCTGAACGAATTTTTTGCGAAACCATTACGGAGCCCTCCGTAAGGAGTTAAGTAGTAGTATGTAAGTCTAACCATTTTTGGAATTATTTTTGGGCATTTAGGGACTAATTTATAGGAATCATGTGATTTTCTCAGTTTTTCGTGTGTGTTGGCCCATAAATATTTTGGAGATATGGTTTTCAGATAAAATTTAGTGAAACAATTACGAAATCCTCCGTAGGGAGTTGGGGGAGCAATATGTACAGATTTTTTGGCATTTAGAGGCTAGTTTACAGGAATTGAGCGTTTTTCTTAATTTTCATGTGTGCTAGCCTATTATTATTTGGGTGATATGACTCTAAATGATTGTTTTTGAAACCATTACGGAACCTTCGGTAGGTAGTTAGAGAGCAGTACGTACGGTCTAACCATTTCAAGAGTGAGTTTTGGGCATTTTTTGGTCAATTTATATGAATTAGACAATTTTTCAGTTTTAATGTGTTAGCCCATGAATATTTTGTGATATGGTATCTAGACATTTTTTTGTGAAACCATTATGGAATCTTCCGTAAGGAGTTTGGGAGCAGTACATACAGTCTCATAATTTTTAGAGTGATTTTTTTGCATTTAGGTACCAATTTAAAGAAATTAAGCAATTTTCTTAGTTTTTCGTGTGTGTGTTAGTCCATGAATATTTTGGTGATATGACTTCCAGATGAATTTTTTGGGAAATCATTATTGAACCTTCCGTAGGGAGTTGAGGGAGTAGTACGTACAATCTCACCATATTTGGAGTCATTTTTGGGCATTTAGGGGCCAATTTACAGGAATTAGGCAATATTATCAATTTTTCACGTGTGTTAGCCTATGAATATTTTGGTGATATGGATTTTGGATAAATTTTTTGTGAAACCATTACTGAACCCTCTATAGGGAGTTGGAGGAGCAATTTGTAAAGTCTCCACCATTTTTAGAGTGATCTTTGGGCATTTAGGGGACAGTTTACCGGATTAGGGCTATTTTCTCAGTTTTTGTGTGTTTTACCATAAATATATTGGTGATATGGCTTCCAGACGAATTTTTTGTGAAACTATGACGGAACCCTCCGTAGGGAGTACGGGGAGCAGTACATACAATCTCACCATTTTTAGAGTGATTTTTGGGCATTTAGGAACCAATTTACAGGAACTAGACGATTTTCTCAATTTTTCGTGTGTGTGCCCATAGATATTTTGGTGATACGACTTTCAGACGAACTTTTTGCAAAACCATTACGGAACTCTTTGTAGGGAGTTGGGGAAGTATTACGTACAATCTCACAATTTTTAGAGTGAATTTTGGGCATTTAAGGGTCAATTTAAAGAATTCAGTGATTTTTTCAGTCTTTCGTGTGTGTTAGCCCATGAATATTTTGGTAATATGACTTCTGAACGATATTTTTGTGAAACCTTTACGGGACCCTCCGCAGGGAGTTGGGTGAGAAGTATGTACGGTTGCACCATTTTTTATGGTATTTTTGGGCATTTAGATGCTAATTTATGGGAATTAGGAGATTTTCTCAATTTTTCGTGTGTGTTAGCCTATGAATATTGTGGTGATATGACTTTTATATGATTTTTTTATGGAACCCCATGTATGGAGTTGGGGGAGCAGTACGTACAGTCTCACTTATTTACGGCATTTTTTGGCATTTATATGTCAATTTACATGAATTAGGCGATTTTTCATTTTTACGACATCTTATTGACTCTGATTGGCCCTAAATTTTTTGGGTTCATTCGAAATGACTTAGTGAACGATACTCATTGTTCGCAATGACCGATGTCGCTTCTTTGGAGATTCTAGGTCACAAATAGGAACTCAAGATTATCTCATCTTTTTGCGTGTATTAGTCCATAAATTTTACGAAATATATTTGACCGATTTCATTTGACAACAAATATTGTGGATTCTTTCGAAAAGACCTAGTGAATGACACTAGTTGTTTTTCTCAAGGACTGATACTTTTTCTCTTATGAAACAGAAAGTCAATATTATCTCACTTTTTTTTGTGTGTAAATTAGTCCATTAATTTTTAAAATTTTAACTAACCAACTCTATCTGACCCCAAATTTTATGGGTCCTTTTGAAATGACCTAGTTTAACTTCGAATGAGCTTCCTTTGTGCAGGAAATATCAAGAGATATTGTATAGGTTATAAGTGATAGCTTGAATTGCCTCTCATAGATTCCTGAGGACGTTAACAATACCTTTCCCCCTTTGATCCCTTTTACTTCTACATAGCTCGAAATGTTAAGCAAGATTTGATATTTGATACCATAGCACGAAAAACACATAAAAAGTTAAAACTTATTTTGGCTGAGAATAGTTAAATCATTTTCCGACAAAAAAAAAAGGTTACTTTCCATGATTATCCTTTTGATTATTCCCAAATTATTCTCTTAAAAATATAAAGTAGTTAAAAGAACCTTACTAAAGGAAGGATAAATATGAAAAAGCCTTCCAATAATTCTTTTAAACTTAAAAAAATCACTTATTTTAAACCAGATAAAAAGTCTGAATAATTTACTTATTCAGGATTAGAGGGAGTACATAATAATACAAACTACCCGATGCATCAACTTCGTGTTGATTACCAGAAAGTAGTAAGCACATAAACTTACCACAACTGCGCTTGCCTCGGTCCCGAACAAGTTAGGATCGACTATGTAAATCCTCATAATTCCATCAATTTAAGGGCACAAACTTAACGAGGAGACTAAATCAATTACTTCGTAGACAAATGCAAATCAATGAGTCAACTTTCAGGATGATTTTAAGATCTCAATACATGATGTGATGATGAACAGAACCCTACCCACCCCACCACAAAACAAGATCAAGTTTCTGGCCTATGCCTTATGGAAACGAATACTATTTTTTCTTGTTCACATCACTGGAGTTTCTCCCTCTTTTATACATTCCTCCATCCTACATCCTCTGATACTTAGAAATGGTGCACAACAATTTATGTGACAAACTTAAATTGCACAACATGACAAATTTACAGCCAAATCCACTACTAACTCCTGACTATGCTACTGGTTTTACAAAGTTAAGCCAGCGCCACTTCAAGCCAAGTACATGCAAGAGAGTGCTTAGATAATTGTATCAAGGTATGAGTAGTTGTGCCGCCGTCCAAACTCAAGAAGGCTACCATATGTGCGATCCCAGACTCCGACAAAAAGGGACTCTGTATCAGGACTAAAAGACAGACCTGATATCTCACCAAAGAAATCGATTTCTTGCTCCTGCTCGTAGCCGTTTTTTACATCGAAAACGTGAACGAAATCTGCAGGTTCTGCCATTGCCATGAATCTTCCATCAGATGTGTAGCGGATTGACCGAATAGCTCCAAGGTTACCCTTCAGAGCAACAACTGATTTCGACAGGTTCCGTATATCCCATACTCTGCAGGTTTTATCCTGGTTGCCAGTTGCAAAAGTTAGGCCATCAGGATGCCATGCTGACGCAAATGAGTAGTCAATATGTCCGCTCAATGGTGAAACAACCTGTAAGCATTAAATTTGGTTAGTCAATGGTGCATCAAACATCGACCAGTTCTGATGATCTAAATCAGGGGAGGAGATAAATGCACAAGTACCTTTGCGTTCCTGGAATCAACCAATAAACCTTCAGGATTATCCCCAACTATTGCAATAAGCTTGCCATCGGGGCTCAGTGATGCATGCTGCGTGCATAAAATGGGAAAACAAGTCAAGTTATACCATACTATGCAAAAGTACTTGCTACCACCAACAGATGTTAGGATAAGACTGTTAATCAAAAGGTGGGAGATTAGAGTAATATCTATATACAAGGCCCTAGATTGAATTATTCAAGTATGAGAAAGAGAAAGGTATTCTTTTTGACAACCTTTACTAATCATAAATTCTAATTCTTATTTGAAAATCAGTAAAAGCTAGCAAATTTTTCAGCACTGGTGCTGCATCACTAATGGCATGCACTAGTGGCACCATAATCAGAAAAAACCTTCTTGGTATACACCTACACCTACACATTCTGGGGTAGATGTGCACCCATAAACACATGCAGGAGGGCGCAGAAACTTACATTCACTGGCCATGGAAAGCGGAAATGCTTGGACAGTTGAAATTTCTCCATATCAAAATCTCTAACTCCAGAATCATTATTCGAAGCTATAAAATGAAGTGCACCACTGAGGAACAAAAGATTAGTCAGTTAGCTTCATTCTCACTAAGAAATAGCATGTCTCTGGAGTACGCAAATATGCATAATACCTGGAGGTGTTATAAATCTCAACAGCATTAGTAATAGCATTATCATCATATGTTGTCCGGGAACAGAAGCAAACTCCAGGCCTGTCTACGTACTGCATATAGTTTCAAGAATGATTAGAGACTTGGGAATTAATTTCACTTCCTAAAGGTGAAGAGGAAACTGCAAAGTCAGCCCCATCACCCAAACACAACCAGCGGAAAATTCAAAATTGCACATGCTCCATTTGTGGATACAAACAAATAAACAAATAAAATAGGGAAGTCCTAACCAATCATTGAGAGTTTCACATACCTTGCAAATTAGTTCTCCTTGAAATCCCCCAGCAACTAGCAAGTTGTCTTTCACTGTAAGAGTGCTGACTTGAGTTTGTGTAAATCCTTCCAAAAGGCTCCCAGGATGCTTCTACAATCACAAATTAAAAAGAAAAAGGTCATAACCAAATAAGCTTTAAAACAACCAGTGGATTCCATGTTCACAACACCTACCTCGCACGGTGCTACATGCCCTGATACATTCAGAACTTCACTTTTGCTGCAGGTCAAGGATGACCAATGAATGACGGAAAAATGTGACATAAGGTACACGTCATGCTTGGAGGTTGCCCAGACCAAATTCCTCAGCTATACCATGAAACAGACAAAAAAGCATCGGGATTATTGTGACAAACTTTTAAGTTAGCTTGCCTAAAAGAATTAGAGAAAATTAAACTAATATGCACGATTCTATCAACAAATAGCAGATCATATGGTTTATCCAAGTAACCTGGTTTGATATTTCAGCCTAATAAATTCACTCCAAAATAATGTCAGCTTTAAATAAGCCTCAAACACATTCTTAGCCTAGTGTCTTCCGTAGTTCCATACAATGTAAATAACCAAATAGTAAAGCAAAAAGTATAGAGGGCTAATAGAATTACCTGGAAGTGTAAAATTGTTGATTTAACAGATCTTGAATTACGTCTGAAGTCATAGAATGAAACTTCTTTCTTTGTGGCTAGGCAGTCCTGTTGAATAGCAAATGGATAGAGCCCATTAGACACAAAGGTCATCACTCAGACCAATTAAATAAGTAAATACACATTTAATTTACCTTCTCTGACGCCTCCCCAGATTGTGGAATATTTTCATAGTTCTTATACTGCTCTAATCTCGTTTGCCTGTATTTCTCCCTGGTTATGCTAAGCCTTTCCCATGGAATCCCTTGAATGTCTCTACCTCTCCTTGCCTCGGCAGCAGAGGTATCTTGCATTTTGTTATTCTACTCAAGAAGAAACAATTCAATAGAATGAGATACGAATCATTAAAATTAAATCAATACATCAAACACGCCCCTGTAAATGCCGCAATTAAGCTTTTATGGATGAATTCACAAACCGTGTAGTCATAGTCATCTGCATCTGAATCAGAGCCACCAACATCTCGGCCATGGAACTCGTCATCCATATCATCATCCATAGCTTCCATGTCATACTCGTTTGCCATGTAATCAGCATCATCCTCTTGTTGATGTGACATGTTTTACCCCAACCAAATGACCTACAAACTACAAAAGCAAACTACATTCAAGAATTGAGAAAATGTTTATTAACACAAACTTCTAAGTCAACTATGGGACAAGATACTCAATTACTCATACAGCACCTCACTACTAGAGCGTCAAAGCATCCATAAAGAGAAAGACTAAGTTAACGCTGTTCTTTGAACAGTATCTCAATCCACAAATGCATTCACACAAAAAAACAAAAAAATCAAAAGGATTAGATATAATTTTATTTTATTTAAGAAGCGAGGCACACATCATACATCTTGCTCTCTATCCAGGCCTCTGCAAAGACCAGCTCGTGATAAAATCAAAGATTCCATTGGATAGGGATTGGATTGCAAAAGAAGAAAGCAATGGAAACACGAATTCTTGCATGGATATGCATAGAGATCATGCCAAATGAGCACACTAATAATCCCTGAAGTAAAAATTTCAACTTCGTTGTTAACACCAGACAGAGAAGAGAAGAACAGTTATAGCCTATATCTACAGTCAGTAACTTAATTACAACACATGGAGAAAGTCATGCTTTCAACCTCCTCGATTAACAATAGTTAGGTATCACAATATAACAAGCATGTAACAAGCCTACGACGTGACTTTAGGAAAATATATTCCCACAGGCAGATCCAGGATTTAATCTTGATGAGTTTGACCTCTAAGGTTCATAGTACGTAACTCGTTGTACTTCATCTGCCCCTAGCTATTCCCGTTATATATTTAACAACCACAAAAGACCGAAACTTGACAACTATGGTGTATACAACACCATATCCAATATACATGTGCAATAAAAAAAGGTAAGAAAAAACACCTTTTTCTATATACAACCAAAGGGACAAGTTGCCTTTCTCAGAAAAAAAAATATGTGACCAAAGAGAGACTTTTCTAACTAAAAAATTGAATCCTTGCCAATAACTTTGCCTAGTCACAAACAAGTTAGGGGGATATTCCTACAAAAGTGAAATGCTTCACTTGGCTAGTGATAAAGAGAGCTTGTTTAACACAAGAAGTACTTCAGAAGAAGGGTAGACAGCTGGTCCCTAGGTGTTTTTTATGCAATTTGACAAGTGAAACTAACAGCCACCTCTTCTTGCACTGTAATTACACTGCTCAAATCTGGAATTTGTTCCTTAGCATCTCAAATCTGAATTGGACAATGCCAGAACGTACATCAAACGTGTTGAAGAGCTGGGTAAGGAGAGGAGGTACCAAGAGCCAGAAGAGATGGTGGAGGTTAATACCATCATGTATATGGTGGTCAGTTTGGAAGGAAAGGAACAGTAGATGTTTCGACAATAGATCCAATTCCATACACAAGGTCAAATGGAATTGTATAGTATCTCTACTTTTTTGGTGTAAACAGTTGTGTATAGTAGATACAGACCAGATTGTAGATTTGATAGGAAGTTTGTAATTGACACTTTTTGGTGGTGGCCAGCATGCCCTTAATGCTGAAGAATACAACCTTACCAGTTTCAAAAAAACAAAAAAGAAAAGAAAAGATTGGCTACAAGGGACAGACTTGATAGATGGGGATTCACATAACTTTGGAATGTCCTTTATGTGCTACTACTTTGGATAGTATTAGCCACTTCTATTTTGAATGACTTTGTTGCTATGTTGGTGTTGACCTAGAAAGAACTTATTCGTAATTCTAAAGACTTGCAACAAGAACTTGCTTGGATGACTACAAAGGAAAGGAAGAGCCCAAATGCAGTAATCTTCATAATGATAGCTGTTAGATGTGTATACCACATTTGGAAGGAAAAAAACTTGAGGGTATTCCAAGAAAGAGCTAGAGGCGCAACACTGGTATCAAGACTATCATACAAGAGGTTTTTCAAAGAGGGCATCTAAATGCAAGTGTGGAAAGAAGGCTATGAACTCTGAACTTTTACCCTGTGTACTCGCAC